AGTTTGCGCGTTAACCGCTAAAAAGAACCCTTTTGTCGTATGTTCTCAGTTTCAAGGCACTCCCCTTGTCGCCTCAGCCAGTATCGGAATCCTCGGCGTCAACATATCGAGTGACGTGCAGTTTCGTGGTCACTTGGAAGAGAAGGCCAAATTGGCCCCTAAAATGCTTGGCGTGCTCAGCAGAGCGGGACAGTATTTCATGCCGGCGCAGCGCCTGCACCTATACAAGGCGCAGGTTCGGCCGCGCATGGAATACTGTTCCCATCTCTGGGCTGGAGCTCCCCAGTAGCAGCTCCTTCCACTTGATCGCATCCAGCGCAGAGCAGCTCAAATCGTTGACGACCGAGTGTTTTCCAATCAGCTCGATTCACTGGCGCTGCGAAGAGATGTTGCATCTCTTTGCATTATCTATCTCATATACCATGTGGAGTGCTCTGAGGAATTGTTCGCATTAATCCCAGCCGCCAAATTTCATGAACGCACTACGCGGCAAATGTCCCGATACCATCCACAACATCTGGATGCTTGGCGGTCCACAAAGAGGAGTGCAATATTTTATTGAAACAACAATAACAACCTACAACAAAGAGAAAGAGTAAAGAGAATACAAAATGTTATTTATGGCAAGTTCATTAGTAATGCTGAAGATAGCACATATAAAAGAGTTTCCTGTTCTCTACATTCACTATACGAAACACAGCAGCATTAAGCTGCAATGCTGCAGCAATCGCTCCCAGCTTTCCCGCACAGGGAGAACGAGGGTCTCTCTTTGTGTCCAACTCGACTCTCGATTACAGGGGAACTCACCGCCGACCTACCCGCGGTGTGAATGTTCCATGCCAGATGTCCGGCACATAGCGCTCGGTTCGCAAAGAACTCCTCTCCTTGGGCATCAACAAGTCGAGTGGGCCTGATGGGGTCTCCCCAGTTGTGCTGGGGACGTGTGACCTTTATTATTACCAGAAAAGACGCTAACGCGTCTGACCCGTCCGATCACAGACCTATCGTCATCACCTCCTTGTTCTCGAAAATAATGTCGATCAACCGACATTAACACAGCTCACGCGGCATCTTGAGAAGCACCAGTTGACTAGTGACCGCCAGTATGGTTTACGGGTACGGATGCAGAAAAGTCATTTATTGCCCAAAAAATTTTATTAGAACAATATATGGCACTGCACCTGATGAGCCTTGCAGGCCGCTATTTATATCTCTGAAAATACTACTCCTCCCATGCTTATACATTTTTGAAATTGCAAAGTTTGTAAAACAAAACATGTATTTGCGAAAGAGATTTATACGCAAAATACCAGAAATGGCAATATACTTGCTGCTGAAATTATACCCAAGAGTGCTCGGTTTAGAAAAAACTGCTACAGGATGTATATGCTCATATTTAATAAAATATCCCAAAATATAAAAGACTTAACCCTTAATAGATTTAAAGGCATCCTTTACAGGTGGCTAAATGATCATTGTTTTTATAATGTGAATGACTACCTAAATTTGACATGATGTAACACAACAGTAGTTCTATATTTTTAATTGCATTATCAATTTTAATTATTTTTAAATTTGTATGTATTGGTTAGTATTGGTAATTTGTAAGGGATGACTATTTTATGATGAATATTTTAATTGAATTCGATATTTTAATACAGTAAACTTAATTATAAAAAATGTATTTGAATGGATAGCATTAGATGGATGAAAAAGCTGAACTACACTTTACAATAAACACCTAAATGTACCCTTTTTCAAAGCAAATAAATCTTCATTTTATTTCATTTCGTTTCGTTTCATTTACGTCGGCGTTGCTTTGCTGGTGATCATCTTGTTTATCTAACACACAGATGGACGCAGGTGGTTGAGTCCAAGGGGGAACCCTTGGCGATTAGTTTGGACATAGCGAAGACCTTCGATCGGGTTTGGCACTAAGCGCTTCTTTCGAAGCTTCCATCTTATGGACTTCCTGAGAAATTATGCAATTGGATTACCAGCTCTCTTTTAGATAGGAGCACCAAGGTCGTAGTAGAGGGTGTTCCACAAGGCTGTGTGCTTTATCACCAGCGCTGTTTCTTCTGCACATCAATGATATGTTGCAAACCGGTAACATTCACTACTATGCGGATGACAGCACTGGTGATGCTCTATACACCGGCCGTGGCAATATTTCTCGGGAAAACGTCTCCAAGTACCGGAACAAATATGTGTCTGAAGTCAAGCCTTTGCTGAACAAAGTCTCAGATTGGGGCGATTAAATCTAGTCCAGTTTAATCCCCAGAAGACACATGTTTGCACGTTTACCGCTAAAAAGAACCCCTTTGTCGTATCTCCTCAGTTTCTAGGCACTCCCCTTGTGCCTCCGCCAGTACTAGGCTGCACTAAAAGTATCGGGAATGGAATATTTCCACTGTTCCTGTCAAATTAAAATCTTTTTAATTGAAAATTCCTTGGTATTAAAAATCGAATACCATTTATTTATTTATAGTCAACCAAATCTAAGAAATACCTTTTGACGTTTCACATTAATCATTCCGCAATAACTTTGCACAAGCATACTCACACGATTTAAAATAACCTTTTACGTAAATCCGAAGAATTATGAGGTTATCTATATTTCATTACAGCGTGTATAGTTTTTTATCACTAATTTAAATTTGAATTTTTCAAATAAAGAAAAATGTGAAAAAGTAACCAGCATTAACTTTTTAACTTGACGTCGTTTCAATGATATATCGCTATGTATATTACCGTAGTGTTTAGATTATTAAAATTCATTGTTATGCGAATAATCGGCAAAATAATTAAATAATCGGTAAAATATTCTAATAATCGAATCATTAATTTCTTTAATGTATTATTTCTTTAATTTCATTTTTATTTTCAAAATTCCTTAAATTACATGAATCATGAATAAAACCAGTTTTTTTTTTCACTTTGTCAAAGTAAATTTTTGTAGGCAAAAAAGTCATATACAAGGCCGTGCTAAAATAACCACTACATAATTTCAGTATCCCGCCATTTCGGTACCAGTTAATCGACTCCACAGAATCAGTAATTAATTTTTGAGGCAATGTATACGCTTTTATAACAAAATGCCAGAAAATATACAAAATTTGACCTAAGTACACATAGTTCAAAAACTTTATTAAACTAAGTTTGTATGATAAGGGTTATTTTAATATTAATGAATTTATGGATGATAATAAGCCCTGGGAAGGGTTGAGCCGACCCATTAGTGCTACAACTATAATATAGATGTAGCGTGGCTCTACCACGTACAAAAAGTTATTATAGAAGAAACAGTCCAAAAAGTTAAAGCCGAGTCATAAAATAAGAAGACTAACACAAAATCTCAAAATTATGCACAGTAAGCTCTCGAAACAGAAACAGAAACTTTTTTATGCAATATACATGAATAATACTTATTGAAAGTCACTTTTTTCATTTACCACTGGTTCCCAAAAATACCTCTGTCCTGGGAAGAACCAGAAAGAAACCCAACGGGACCAGTTTAAAAAAAAATAAGAGAGAGAGAAATAGCTTGGTAGCGATCGCTACATAAAAAAGTATCTGTTTCTGTTTCGAGAGCTTCCTGTGCCTAATTTTGAGATTTTGTGTTTGTCTTCTTATTTTGTGACTCGGCTTTAACTTTTTGAACTGTTTCTTCTATAATAGCTTTTTGTACGTGGTGGAGCCACGCTACATCTATATTATAGTTGTAGCACTAATGGGTCGGCAACTAGGGCAGGACCACGCTCTCACAGAATACCAGCGTAAAATAGCAGCGTAATGCTAATGTGTTTCATATGGTGAGTGTAGAGAACCGTAGACCCTTTTTACTGGAATCGAGGCATTCCATCTTAGTCCTCAGGAGTGACAACGAATTTACATTTTGATTCTTAATTGAGGATAAATGTGTATGTATATGGGCCATAGCATCCACTTACCATCAGGTGGACTGTGTGCTCGTTTGTCACCCAATGCTATAAAAAAATATTTGTTAAAGCATGTGCCCTTGTCACAAAGGATGATTGGGCAAAAGTGGTAGAAAAAACAAAAAATTGATTATGGATAACTTTGAAAGAGACATTAATTTTGACTGCACTATCGAGAATCAAATAATAATAATTAATATAAACAACGACATCCCTACAAGTTGTACTGAAAGTGATTGAATAAATTTATTTTTAATCTAGTTTCAATCTTAAATTTTCATAACTGTGCCTCTAGAAATAAGCAGTAACAACAAATACGAAGAAACTGATAAATCTTATGATTTAATTATCCGTTTTTAATTTATTCTGGTATTATTAAAACCAAACTGTAAATGATTACCAACTCCAAATAATCGATATCGAGTTTTTTAAGAATCGAATATTTTACGTTCCCATTTTTTGGTCGGCATGCTTGGTGCAATAAGTCTGACAGCTGTCAAAAGGTATTTCTTAGATTTGGTTGATTATAAAAAAAGATTCTCGGTCTTGTCACAAGGTTTTGTCAAACTTGTTTAGTCGTTGAGAAAATGGAATTGACTCGAGAAAATTCAAGAGCGATGATTTATTGACTTTCGAAGTGGTTTAACACAAAAACAGTGTGTTGACCAGATGATTTCTGCATTTGGTTATGAAGCGAACCCAGTGGATTGCGGTGTTTTGTCCTTAGTCAGTCTTCAGCGCCTGTATTTTCAAACGCATCTGCATTTTGATTCCTAATGAAAGATAGATGTAGATACACATGGGTTACAGCAACCACTTATCATCAGCTTAGCTTGATTGTGTGCTCATTTATAGTATACCCCTAAAGAAAAAAGATGCCCATCTCCTGTTTTAGTTTCCCTGAGCCACCTCTTATGACAGCCGTGGGAGGATATGGAGTAGTGGATATTCTTACATCGCAACTACATAGTTAACCATGCATTACAAATTGCCATAGATCACACCATAGGTTAACTATTCATTACATCATACTTGAAATATGTTTGTTCATACTATTAG